TAACTCTATAATTTTACCCTGTATGTTTAGACCTTTAATCCACCTGGAGCCCACCTTTGTATGGGGTGTTAATTTTATGTTTCTCCATACAGTGAGCCAGTTTCTCAGCCCTCATTTGCTGAACAATCTGTCCTTTTGCCTCTGAATTTTAGTGTTACTTCTTTTTTTTTTTTTTTTTTTTTGACCTTTTAGGGCCCGTTGATTGATTATCAGTCAATCCTGAAAGGATGTTCTTTCACTGAAGCTTGATTTAGCACACAGAGTTCTACCTTATCCTTCAGGATTCTAAGCAGATGAGTTAGGTGGAATCTGGGCGGCCTCAAGTTTTCTGAGTTTGCATGATAGAGATAAGAATACTCTTTACCCCCCAATGGACACCAATTTTTTTTTTTTTTAAATTTATTTATTTATTTATTTTTGGCTGTGTTGGGTCTTCGTTTCTGTGCGAGGGCTTTCTCTAGTTGTGGCAAGTGGGGGCCACTCTTCATCGCGGTGCGCGGGACTCTCACTGTCGCGGCCTCTCTTGTTGCAGAGCACAGGCTCCAGACGCGCAGGCTCAGTAGTTGTGGCTCACGGGCCCAGTTGCTCCGCGGCATGTGGGATCTTCCCAGACCAGGGCTCGAACCCGTGTCCCCTGCATTGGCAGGCAGATTCTCAACCACTGCGCCACCAGGGAAGCCCCAGTGTTACTTCTACTATAAGTTAAGTTTATATGCACATGCATTTGTCTCAGGTTGTCTTAGGTTGGGTTCCCCCAGAAACAGACCTTGAGATAAGGATGTGGATATTAGTAGATCATTTGGGAGATAACCCAAAAAGCACTGGTAGAAGAGTGGAGAAGTGAAACAGGGAAGGGAAGGAATCCAGTCAAGGGTATGTTATCAAGCAGGTTACCACCATTGCAACTGGGATCAATCTGCCTGGGGTACTCTGAGACACAATGCAGAATACATCTCAGAGTTATCCCACCTGAGGGGAGAGGCAGCTAAGGTATTCATCCACCAACTCTTTTGGGTCACCAACTGATGGCTATTCCTGTGGTGGGGGCATTTGGTCCCAGGCACTTCTGGTCTGTCCTGAGCATAGGCCAAACAGGCAGAGTCACAGGTGCTTGCAATTAGAAACAGTAAGTTTGGAGTGTGCTAGAATGGTGAATGACAAAGGGATATGACAGGGCACTGACAGTGTCTGCTAAACCCTCCAAGCTCTAGTCTCAGTTCCACTGGTTCATTCATCTATTCTTACGCCCTCACCATACCTTTTTTATTAGTACAGTTTCTTAGTATATCTTGAAATCTGGTAGGGCAAGTTCTGGCTCTTAGCTCTTTATATTTAAAATTTCCTTAGCCATTTGTACACCTTTATTTTTCCACATCAATTTTAGGTTAAATTTATAAACTTTCCAAAAAAAAAGTTAAGTGGAATTCTGATTGGGTTGCATTGATTTTATGGGGTTTACATTGACTCATTTAGGTAGAACTGATATTTTTATTACATTAAATTAATTGTTCCCTCCAAAAGCAAAGAACGTCTCTCCATATATTCACATTATCTTCTAATTCCTTTATTAAAATTTAATTTTTTCTCCAAAGCTACTGTGTATTTTTGGTTAATTCCTAGATAGTTATAGTTTTGTTTTTTTGTTTGTTTGTTTGTTTGTTTGTTTGCGTTATGCGGGCCTCTCACTGTTGTGGCCTCTCCCATTGCGGAGCACAGGCTCTGGACACACAGGCTCAGCGGCCATGGCTCACGGGCTCAGCCGCTCCGCGGCATGTGGGATCTTCCCGGACCGGGGCACGAACCCGCGTCCCCTGCATCGGCTGGCGGGCTCTCAACCACTGCGCCACCAGGGAAGCCCGATACATATAGTTTTTGTTGCCATTGTGAACGATGTAATATTTTCATGTTACTTTTTCCTAGTGAAAAGAAAGGTTATTGATTCTTGTATATTGGTATTATGTCCAAAACTCTTCTGAATTCTCATCTTAGCTCTAATAGTTTAAGAGTGAGCAATTTATTAATGTAATTCATCATGATTATAGATTAAAGGAGAAAAGGCATATTGCTTACCTCAATATTGGTGCAGATAAAATATTTGATTAAGTTCACATTTTATTTAGGATTAACAAAACTCTTAGGAAGACAGGAGAAGAATAGAAGTTCCTTAACTAGGTAAAGGTTATATAACAAAATTCTAGAGCAAATTTATACCCTACGGAGAAGCTTTAGTTACATTTATTGTGTAACATAGTACTGGAGGCCTTTGGCCAATGATTAGAAGGAAAGAAGAAATTGTTTCTTCAGTGCTTATTGTATTACTATAGCACCTTTTTGGCATCAGATATTTTTCTAGGGATTTATTCATTTCATCTAAGTTTTCAAAATTATTACCATATAACTGTCCATAATACTTTGGCGGGGGTAACAGCTTATTGAAACATAATTCAGATTCTGTACAATTCGCCCATTTAGAGTGTACAATTCACTAATTTTTTCTTAAGCTATTATCCCGTTTATCTAGGAAAAAATAACAGCTTGATATAATAGCCTTCTAGAGAATATATATGTACACACAGAAATTAGGCTTGTGGGTCAGGATAAATGTCAGAATTTAACTCTGATGGTAGCAAGAATTAGCTTAGCTCAGATGAAGGCTATAACTCAACTAGTTAGAGCAGAGAATGCCTTAAGGTAGTAGAACAGCTGCCACTTCCCAGTGCCCTTCTTTCCTCTCCCTGAGATATGCCCTAAATCTGTGGGTTTATGGGACTAATGCAGGATGGGAGTCCCACCAGATTAGAGGGGCACTGAGTCTCCTCCATCTGTTTTTTTCTTTATCAGTTTAGAGGGTGATGTCATTGATAGGTAAAGCAGTAAATCTATACTCTAATTACCTTGTTACTGGACCTAAAGTTCATGTTTTGAATACAGACCTTCAAACTGAACCACAGAATATAGGAACTCTCTGGTTCAGAGCTACAAATAACAACGGGTCTTTCCATAGGGCCTTTGCAGCCACAGACTTTTAAAATTACAAGTCATGACCCACCACTGTCCATCCCTTAGTTGATAACTTTTGTCTAGACCAGTATGATGACTCCAGACCAACATGACACAATTCACTAGTTTTTAGTGTTATTTACTGAGTTGTGCAAACTTTGTCAGTCAATTGTCCATAATACTTAGTTAAAACATTAAAAAAAATTTTTTTTCTGTTTTTATTTTTCATTAATTTTTATTGGAGTATGGTTGCTTTACAATGTTGTGTCAGCCTCCACTGCACAACAAAATGAATCAGCCATACACACACCGATATCCTCTCTCTTTTGGACTTCCCTCCCATTTAGGTTACCACAGTGCATTAGGTAGAGTTCCCTGTGCTATTACAGTATGTTCCCATCAGATGCTTATTTTATACATAGTATCAATAATGTATATGTGTCAATCCCAGCCTCCCAATTCCTCCCACACCACCACTTTCCCCCTTGGTATGGACGGGTAAAGAAGATGTGGTACATGTATACAATGGAATACTACTCAGCCATAAAAAGGAATGAAATTGGGTCATTTGTAGAGACACAGCTGGACCTATAAAGTGTCATACAGGGTGAAGGAAGTCAGAAGAAGAAAAGCAAATATCATATAAAACATTTTTTAAATCTCTCTTTTTCTTGGTGATCTACCCTTTCTCAGTGTATGTCTTTTTTTATCTTTATCTTCTCCTCTGCCTTTTTAAATCAGTACTGCCAGTGCTTATTAACATTTTGAAAGAATAAACATATGATTTTGTTAATATCGTGATTTTTTTCTCTCCTCTCTCTTTTTAATATTTATTTCTGCCCGTATTTTTATTATTTACTTCATTCCTGTTTCTTTGGATTTTCTCTGTTGTTCTTTTCTCCCACATTTTTCAGTTGAATGCTATGCATATTTGTTTTTAAATTTTCTTTTTTCTTGATAAATATATATGAAGTTAAAATTTCTTTCTAGCTACTGTTTTAGTTGTAGCATACAAATTTTGACTCATAATATTTTTATGTCATTCTTCTTCAGTCTAGGGCTATTTACCAAAATTCCACTTATTTTCCTAACAAATGGGATATTTAAGTTATACTTTTGTTAATAGTTTCTAACTTTATTGCATTATGATTGGAAAACATTTAAAATGGATCCTAACTGATGAAAACTTTCTTTGTCTTCTAAGACATGGTCTGTTTTTTTAAAATGCCCCAATTATTCTCAAAAAGAATGTTCATACTGTTTAGTACAGGTTTTTAAAAATATTTCTAATAGTTCAAATTCAAATTTATTAATTGTACTGTTGGGTCTTTGACATATCTACTTGTGTGCTATTTGCTTTAACTATCAGTTTTGAGAGAGGAATATTAAAATCTCCAACTACAAATGTTCATTTATCTATTTTTCCCTGAATTTCTATCAACTGTTAAATAAATTTTGAGATGGTTCTGTTAATATATATTAATGATGGCTGTATCTTTTTGCTCTGTTGTTCTTTTATCAGCATATGAGATCCTGCTTTGTCTGTTAAAATGGTTTGTGTATTTGAATTCTATTTTATCAGATATTAAGACTGCTACTCCAATTTTCTTGCAGTTTATATTTGCTTGGTATGTCATTTTCCATTCTTAGCCATTTTTTGTTTTCTGCTTTAAGTGTGACTCTTATAGAGATCATATTGCTAAATCTGTTTTTTAAATCCAGCCTGAGAATCTCTTTTAAGGGGTGTATTTTAGCACATTCATATTTATTATAATTACTCTATTATTAGGATATATTTCTGCCACCTTAATTTACCACTTACTGTACTTTTGGTTATTTTTTCACCTTTCCTTCTTTCACTTGATAAAGAGAATAATTCTGAATTCAGAATGTCAGTAAAATCACAGTTGTCCCAAAGCTCAATTACATTATTTCACTTCACCATGATAATTTTAAAAAGGGTAAAGTTTCCACTAGTTCGTGTAAGGATAATTCTTTACCTCATTCCACAACTGTAATTCTTGTTCCAGCTGTAATCCTTGAGGCAATATTGGAGCACCTAAAAATAAAGTTTCGGATGATAAAGTTTTGATTTACTTTTGGATGATATTTCTCATTTTTCACTCTACATCACTACCCTCCTATTTCAACTAGATAATTCAACATCTGACTTAGTATAAAGAGACATAATTATTAAATAAACCTTAAAACATTACAAAGACATTACTCTCAAGAGTGAATTTCTTATGTCTACACAAAAACTTGTACATGAATGCACATAGCAGCATTATTCATAACAAGCTCAAAGCACAAACAATCCAGATGTCCATCACCTGGTAAACAGATAAACAAAATGTAGTACATCCACACAATGGAAAATTGTTGGCAATAAAAAGGAATGAACTACTGATATATGCTTCAACAGAGATGAATCTCAAACATATCATGCTAAATCAAATAGGCCAGATGCAAAAGATCAAATACTGTATGAATCCATTCATATGGAATGTCCAGAGAAGGCAAACCTATAGTGATAGAAAGACTAGTGGTTGCTTGGGGCTGATGGTAGGAATGCTGACTGACTGCAAATGGACATAACAGATCTTTGGGGGGCGATTGAAAATTGTATTGTTGTGATAGCTGCACAACATTTTTTTTTTTTTTTTGGTGGAGATGAAACAATACTCTATTTGTTAAGGAGGAGTAAAAGTACAAAAAGGCTTATACGACAGGACATAAAAAAGTGAGAAATCCATTGTACTTAATTCAGAACGCTTGAAGAATCATCTATGCTACTATGTATGAATAATGCAGGGGCAGAAATTTATTACAGACACATATATTTTCGTTTGGATTTAGTGCTGTACCTTGTTTGACTTAAATCTTGTAAAGAATGATATTCATCTAACTGAAATAACATTTTTCAAGTAAGACAATGCCTTCCAGGGTATTGCTAGTGTGATCCTGAAATAGAATTTGGATGATGAAGTATCAGATAAAATTTATGTAAATGGTATGATGTTGTAGCACGTTAACTATGAGGAGTGAGGATCTTTTTCTTCTTCTGCTTTTTTCTTCCCGGTTTTACGAAGATGTAATTGACATACAGCACTGAATAAGTTTAAGGTATACAGCATAATGATTTGACTTACGATACTGTGAAATTATTATCACAATAAATTTAGTTAATATCCATCACTTCATATAGATACCAAAAAAAAATGTTTTTTTCCCTTCTGATGAGAACTCTCAGAATATACTGTCTTAACTTTCAAATATACCACAGAGCAGTGTTCACTACAGTCATCATGTTGTATGTTACATCCCTAGTACTTATTCATCTTATAACTGGAAGTTTGTACCTTTTGACCACCTTCATCCAAACTTATCTTACCATAAATCACAAATTAATTTAAATTAAAAGACAAATGAAAACTCCCGAAATGTATGAAACATATTTAATAAAATGTGATGGTAAATATCCTTATAATATAGAACTCTTTCAAATCAATACAGAAAAGAAAACATTAATAGGCAAATGACGGCCCAACTCCTTAAGTCTAATTAAAAATCATTGAGTTGCAACATAATACAGGATATATATGACAAACCCACAGCCAACATCATTCTCAATGGTGAAAAACTAAAACCATTTCCACTAGGACCAGGAATAAGACAAGGTTGCCCACTCTCACCACTGTTATTCAACATAGGTTTGGAAGTTTTAGCCACAGCAAACAGAGAAGAAAAAGAAATAAAAGGAATTCAAATCAGAAAAGAAGAAGTAAAGCTGTCACTGTTTGCAGATGACATGATACTACACATAGAGAATCCTAAAGATGCTACCAGAAAACTACTAGAGCTAATCAATGAATTTGGTAAAGTAGCAGGATACAAAATTAATGCACAGAAATCTCTTGCATTCCTATACACTAATGATGAAAAATCTGAAAGAGAAATTAAGGAAACACTCCCATTTACCACTGCAACAAAAAGAATAAAATACCTAGGAATAAACCTAGCTAAGGAGACAAAAGACCTGTATGCAGAAAACTATAAGACACTGATGAAAGAAATTAAAGATGATACAAATAGATGGAGAGATATACCATGTTCTTGGATTGGAAGAATCAACATTGTGAAAATGACTCTACTACCCAAAGCAACCTACAGATTCAATGCAATCTCTATGAAACTACAACTGGCATTTTTCACAGAACTAGAACAAAAAATTTCACAATTTGTATGCAAACACAAAAGACCCCGAATAGCTAAAGCAATCTTGAGAAACAAAAACGGAGCGGGAGGAATCAGGCTCCCTGACTTCAGACTATACTACAAAGCTACAGTAATCAAGACAGTATGATACTGGCACAAAAACAGAAATATAGATTAATGGAATAGGCTAGAAAGCCCAGAGATAAACCCATGCACATATGGTCACCTTATCTGTGATAAAGGAGACAAGAATATACAATGGAGAAAAGACAGTCTCTTCAATAAGTGGTGCTGGGAAACCTGACAGCTACATGTAAAAGAATGAAATCAGAACACTCCCTAACACTATACACAGAAATAAACTCAAAATGGATTAAAGACCTAAATGTAAGGCCAGACACTATCAAACTCTTAGAGGAAAACATAGGCAGAACACTCTTTGACATAAATCACAGCAAGATCTTTTTTAATCTACCTCCTAGAGTAATGGAAATAAAAACAAAAATAAACAAATGGCACTTATTGAAACTTAAAAGCTTTTGCACAGCAAAGGAAACCATAAACAAGACGAAAAGACAACCCTCAGAATGGGAGAAAATATTTGCAAAGGAATCAAAGGGCAAAAGATTAATCTCCAAAATATATAAACAGCTCATGCAGCTCAATGTTAAAAAAACAAACAACCCAATCCAAAAATGGGCAGAAGACCTAAATAGACATTTCTCCAAAGAAGACATACAGATGGCCAAGAAGCACATGAAAAGCTGCTCAACATCCCTAATTATTAGAGAAATGCAAATCAAAACTACAATGAGGTATCATCTCACACCAGTCAGAACGGGCTTCATCAGAAAATCTACAAACAACAAATGCTGGAGCGGGTGTGGAGAAAAGGGAACCCTCTTGCACTGTTGGTGAGGATGTAAATTGATCCAGCCACTATGGAGAACAGTATGGAGGTTCCTTAAAAAACTAAAAATGGAATTATCATATGACCCAGCAATCCCACTCCTGGGCATATACCCAGAGAAAACCATAATTCCAAAACACACATGCACCCCAATGTTCATTGCAGCACTATTTACAATAGCCAGGTCCTGGAAGCAACCTAAATGCCCATCAACAGACGAATGGATAAAGAAGATGTGGTACATATATATAGTGGGATATTAGCCATAGAAAGGAATGAAAATGGGTCATTTGTAGAGACGTGGATGGACCTAGAGACTGTCATACAGAGTGAAGTAAGTCAGAAAGAGAAAAACAAATATCGTATATTAACGCATATATGTGGAACCTAGAAAATGGTACAGATGAACTTGTTTTCAAGGCAGAAATGGAGACACAGATGTAGAGAACAAACGTATGGACACCAAGGGGGGAAAGCAGTGGGGGGTATGGTGGTGGTGGTGGGATGAATTGGGCGATTGGGATTGACATGTATACACTGATGTGTATAAAATTGATAACTAATAAGAACCTGCTGTATAAAAAAAAGAAAACCTATTTATTAGGTTTATAGACATGTGTGCAATTAAAAAAAAATAAAACACTACTGTTACCTTGAAAAAAAAATTGACCAACTCAGTGAAACCTTGTGAATACAATGTTAAAAAGTATAACTATGAATCATAAAATTTAGTATGAAAAGATAAGAATGGAAAATTATATTGAAGCTATGTGGAATTATGTTTATAGACAACAGGAAGAGAAAATGAAAATGTAAATATTGCTTGATAGGATAATGAGATTAGAGGTGGTCTTTAAAATTTTTCATTGTTATGCTAATACAATACCTTTATAAAACCTAAAAATCGTCAAACAACACATTTTTTAAAAATTGTGGTAAAATACACAAAACAGAAAATTTATCATTTTAACCATTTTAAAGTGGACAGTTAGTTCAGTGATATTAAGTCAACAAATTTTTAAAACTTTCAGATGGCACCTGAATAAAAGATGTGCTGTCCATTGGTGATTTTAATGTATCTGGTATAGAACTAAAGTCACCACAAAACTTTTTCTGGGAAACTGGCAGATCATAAACATAAAAAATTTATTTTGCTTTATATTAAAGCTTATTGTTTTACTGCTTCAAAATTCAAATTTACTCACAAGAAAGAGTCAGTTTCGTATTAGATTTGGTTTCACAAATGCTGCTCCTGCTATTCATTCTTATCACCAGAAAAAAAAAGACTATTTGTGACTAACCATAATATGTTCCAGAAAATAAAAAGTTAAGGTCTCTTAGAAACAATACAAACATTATCAGTAGAAGTAAATTATAGCAAATTTATATATTCAGGAGAATGTGAAACTTATACCACTGATTGTTAAAGGGTTTTAAAAGCTTTTTATCACATTTGGTAACAAAATTATAGGCCTAGTTGTAAAAGCCAGGGTTAACTACCATTGGGAAAATTAACTATACATTACAGTAAACATTTAGAAAATGTTTTTCTAAAATGTTCAATCTAGGTCAATAAAATTGTAGAAGTAAAAAAAATAATAATAATAAAATAAAATAAAATAAAATGTATCATGTCCTTTAACCTTCATACCAACCTTTTAAGTTAGCTATTCTACTTATTCCCATTTTAAGATGAGGAAATTGAAGGAAGGAAAGATTAAGTAATTTGTCTCAGGTCACCAAAATATATACATAGCAGAAGCAGATTTCAAACCAGACTCCAAATCCTGACACATTTTTTTTTTTTCTAATTCTACCACTTTTCAGATGTCTTGCCTTGAGTGCACAAAAATTTGTGCTAGTATTTAATCTATGTTCTAATAATAGTAATAGTATTTCACTACATTTTCTGTACCCAGCATTAGAAGTAACTTACAGGGGTCATGTAGTCCATAGTAGAGAGTTGATTTGTTTGAATCCCCTTTCATGGGACAGCTATTCAAGGTGGACAAATGAACTTACACACGTCTCAATTAAATATTTCCCACCCTAGCACAAATGTATATCCCAAAGTCACTGTTGTCTGGTGGATATTACTCTGAGCTGATTCTGTTTTCAGGAGGGGATAAAGCTGTGCTTCTCAAATTTTCATGCAAAACACCTGGTGATCTTACTTAAATGAGCTTCTCTGATTCAGTCATGCTGGGACAGGGCCAAGAGTCTGCATTTCTAGCAAGCTTCCCGGTGATACCGATGCTGCTGGTCCATGAATAACTGTGAATAGCCAGGGGGAGTGAGCACCGCATTGTAGAAAGAAACAGAGGATGCCTCTTATTTGACAGAACTAGGGAGCTCAAATAGACATTTTAGGTGTAACCTTTTTAACAAGTCTGAATATTTCCAAAAGGGGTATATGAATGTTGTCATGAAAAAAATCTAAAATCCATAGGCCCAGCTTGGATGCATTACTCATCTGTTTTTACTAAGAGTGCACAGCTTTGAAAAATAGGAAGGTAAAAGAAAGAGGAATGGAGGCAGAGAGCAGTATTTGACTGACGAGAACCAGAGTCAAGTATGATGCAGGGAAATGCACAAGGAATTCCACGTGTTGGATTCAGTCTTCACCTGCCTGTACTTCTGATTTCTCCACTCAAGATACCATGGTTAATCTCTGTTTGACAGGCCATTCCTGTTTAAAGAATAAAGTTTCCTATTATTTCTTCTCCTGACCAACCCGCATCCTCCAGTAAAATTGGAAGCTCCTCCTCCGCACTGCCTTACCAAGAACATGGAGAGTTTGCCTCCTTCCATGTCCCCAAGCTTGCATGGGCCACACCAAAATTGCCATTATGTCTAACCTAGTCCCAAGCACTTATATAATCGAAAAGGGGTACTTTGGGGCTCTTACACAAAACACAGTCTCAGGGTAAAAAGGTTAGAGAAGCCAAAATTTCAAAATGTTTATCTATAATTTATAGAAAACCATTAACATCCTATGACCGAATCCAAACATAAGGGAAAATTTTTCCCCCTTTGTGTATTTGTTAACTAAAGTTGATGTGATTTGCCTCTCAAGATACCCCAGATGTGGGCTTTATACTAATCAAATAGCCATACTAGATACTTTCGCAAGTACTGTCAGGGACGGTGCCACTGTCATCTACAGCCTAAAAACTGCACTGTTTTTGATCAATCAGTTTCAAGTTAAGTGAAATCTTTAGTCTTACACTGTACAATCTAACTAATGTAAATAATATGGATAGACAACTGGTGATCTGTAAATATACCATGTGTAAGAGAAAGAAAAACAGACTTGATTATTCTAAAAGTGGTATCACTTTTCTTTTCTCATTCCTAGTACTTAACTAGTGTAGTGTTTGGAAGTCAGAAACTGTTACTGCTGACTGAATTTTAAGAATTATTCCATGAATAAGGGCCTGAGTAGGAAAAGACACTTCTTAATTTAGTCTTGGGCACTTGATCACTTATTGTCAGAGGCCACATCAAGCGACACTTTGTTGCAGATATACAAATGTGCCCCTCTTTCAGGAAATGTCCTTCTTTATTTTAATGTTCTCTGAATAGTAAACCATTTCCAGCCACCGATTCTGTGGTGGTCCTTTATCTTCCCATTGCTATTTTATGCTCTGCTAACTCATTTTTGCAAAGGACGTTGCACTTATCGACATGATTTTTTTTTCCTCTGGCATTGTGGCATTTGCTTTGTTGTTTTTCAATACATCCACTTGCGTGTTGCGTAATGATTAATCTTGGTAGATTATCTCCCGGTTTTGCTTATGTATGTCATGCTTCCCCTCCAGTGCTATCTTTAGGGTCTCAGGACTAGGGCAGATCACCAGGGCAGATCAGACTAGGAAAAATTCACCCTCTTCCCCCTCCATCACATTTTTAGAGAGATAAAATTAATTTTTTGGTATCAAGAGCAGATCTGAAGGGGAAAGAAGACAGAAAAGGGTAGTCTATGGGGTCTCTGTGTAGG